CAATGGTGGTGCCCCCACACTGGGGAGATGAGGGGTGAATGGGGAGGTTATTTTCTACTACTTTGCATTTTGGGTACCTGTGAGATACCAAGAGGTGTCAGATTTGAGGTGTGGACCCAGGCAGTGTCTCAGCACTGATGGTCCTGGAAACTGCATGTCTACTAGGCTGCCCAAGGTGAAGTTAGAGGCACACCGAGGACCAAGGACAGGCCTTGAGGTATACCAGCCTCTCAGGGATGGGACAAGATGAGCTGGCCAGGAAAACAGAAGCAGCAGCCAGAGAAGCAGGAAGGAGACTGCAGGTCATGTGGGACGAGTGTGTCCAAGGACTAGGGAACAGGGAGCTAGTTGGTGGCCCTGGCCAGCGTGGTGTCCCTGGGGCGGGGGTGGATATGAGGCCCCAGGGCAAGGGCTAAGCCTCTAGTAGGGAGGTGAGCAGGTGGAAACAACCAATATGAACAACCATGCTGTGAAGGGGACACGTAGTACACGGCCTGGCTCTGCAGGGAAAGACCAGGTCAAAGGAGGGTGTTTTCATGTTTGTTTTGTTTGGAAGAGCGGTATCCTGAGCCTTTACTGCTTGGAAGAGGCAGGCCTGATAGGACAGTCAGAGCCATGGCCTGGTCAGGGTTGGTGGGCTGGGACACCCACTGAGGAGCCCGGGGAGGCCCCACACAGAGGCAGCCGACCCCGCCACCCCGTCACCGCTCTTTCCAGCAGGCAGGCCAGTCCCCATCCTGAGCATCTCTCCAGCACTCACCCTTGAGGCTTGACCAAGGACCTCCTTCCCCTCCCTCAGCTTCAAGGCCGCCCCTTCGTTGATTCTCCCAGACAGGAGCAGGCTCACCCCTCTGTGCACAGGTGCCCTAAGGGCAGACCTCTGGAGCCTAGACAGACACTGGGTCATCTCCTGCCTGGGGGATTCTGGGGGGCTCAGATCACCCCAGGACCCCAGAGCCTAGCCTAATCCTGACACGCTGCAAGGAGGAAGGGGACAAAAAAACGTTTGCTGCATAAATAAAAGACCAGCAGGTTTGGGGTAAAAGACCACTAAAGTCCCCAAAGCTGAGTGTTGCCCAGTGGTTCTCAAACCCAGCAGAGATTTTTGTCACCCAGGGGACATTTGGCAACATCTGAAGACATTTTTTAATTGCTATGACTTGGGTGGGGGTGCTACTGGCACCTGGTGGGTAGATGGCCTGGATGCTGCTACACATTCTGTAATTCACCTCAACAACCCAAACATCAGTAGTACCAAGGGAGGGAAACCCTGGTGTAGCCCAACCAACAGAAAAGAGAGCAGTCCTCTGGGGCCTCACTGTGCAGGGATGAGGGTGCTGCCACCCTCCACAGAACCAGGCCTGGAGGTAGGAGTAGAAGGATGAGGGGGGTGCGGTGGTGACAGCAGCATCCTGCAGAAAGGTGGACCACCTCTATTCGGGCTGTACAACCTCAGATGTGAGGGTCTGAGAGCCAGGGCCGCCTAGAACAGAGCCTCACCTGGACCATCTGATGTTCACACTTTCTCCTGTGACCACACACAGCAGCCTGGCCGTGTCACCTTCTGGCACCGTCATAGTAGAGGGCAGCCCTGTGATTGTCAGCTCCCCTGCACCCAAGGAGGAGGCACGGTCAGCCACTACACCAATCCTGCCCCACCTGACCCTTCCACTCGGGACTGACGCCTTACCCAGAACCCTGAGCTGGACCCAACGCTCGTCTCGGTCCTGCCCGTTGAAAGCAACACAAGTGTAGAAGCCGCCATCTTCCACAGCCACGCGGCTGATGACCAGAGAGCCATCGGGCTGCAGCTGGTGTCTAGGAGCCAAGCACAGTCAGGTGGCGCCATCCCCAGATACCCAGCAAGGGGCGGTGGGGGAGGGGGCAAGGTCTTCCCTTCCCTGGTGAGAGGACCCTGCTGGCCGGTGGGGTCTGACCAAGGGCCAGTCAGCCTTAGGCCTGAAGGTCCCCCAGCCGCTGGCACTCTCGTTTACTTAAAGATGCCTGATTTTAAGCCTGGCAATGAACAAATCATTTCAAATTTTCTGATACAAAATAATTCTGGTCTGGGGTTTTTGCTATAAGTGTTAGTAGGCTCAAATCCTGGTTCTGCCACTTAGGAGCTGTGTGGTGTTGAACTGTGTGTCAAATGGGGATAAAACAGCAACGTGGCTCGTCTGCAGATCAGACAGAGGAGAGCAAGCCTGACCCTCAGCATGGGCTCAATAAATGTTAGCTTTGATGATTACAGCCAGAAGTGTGTCCGCCTCCATTTCTTCCCTCAGCCATCACCTCTGCTAGCTCGTCTCCTACCGCTGTCCACTACCCACACTCTGGAAAGGCCCAGACACCCAAACACGGTCTGCCCAAGGAGCCCTACGTCCAGCAGCCCCAGCTCTCGAGAGGCCCTGGAGTCTTGATCAGGACTGGCCAGAGGTGACGCCCGCAGCTCCCTGCCCCAGTGGGCTGCACAGGTGGGTGGGGGCTGGAGGCAGGACAGGAGGGAGGGGAGAGGAGCTGAACCAACCTGGGAGAAGAGAGTGGCTGCCCGTCTCTCTGCCACTCAATGGCTGGGGGTGGGAAGCCCTCAGCGTGACAGGTCAGCCGGATCCTCTGGCCTGGATGGGCGACCACCACCCTAGGCTGGCTCTGGTCCAGACGCAGCCTGCAGAACAAGCAGCCATGAGGGGGTCCTTGTTTTCCTAGTCCTCATGTCACAGGGCCCTGAGCAGGGGCCAGAGAGCCTGGTCAAGCACACAGTGGCCTGGGGACCTTCCAATTTCCCCTCCTTTCACCCACTGAGACCTCCCCCAACCCTGGCCCTCAGCTGGGGAGGCCGAGGGCAGGACAGCATTGCACACTGTTACCTGGTCGTGGGCCATGGGTGTGAGGAGGAGGTGGCCCCAAGGCCCCCAGCATCCCCACCTCGGCTGGGGTCCCGAGGACTGTAGCCCTGGGCTGGGTCCCTGGTCTGAGGGAAGTGCCTTGACTCAGCCTCAGATAGCACGGCCACATCACCCCCTGTCATGAGACCAGGAGAAGCAAGGGGTGAGTTGTGGGGAGAAGGGGACACAAGGAAGGCTGGGCCATGAGGCCAGCAGGGGACATATGGAGAAATGAGGGCCACAAGAGGCAAGACCTCTGCCCCAGCCTAACTGGAGCATGTGGTCCCTGCCATCAGGATGCTTTGGCCCAAGGAAGCACCCTAGCCCTCCAGTGTGGGGGCACACTGGCCCAGGCCCTCCCGGTAAGCCCTCCTACCCTGCAGCCCACAAGAACCCACTGGGGTGGGGCGGGGTGGGGACAGAGACCTGTGATACGAAGCTGGATCTTCTGAGAGTCGTGGTCTGGCCTGGTGCTGCCACAGCTGTAGGTGCCAGCATCCTCTGCCTGCAGGGGACTGATGACCAGGGAGCCATCAGGCTGCAGCTTGTGCCTAAATGAAGGAAGCAGGGCTTGAGCTCTGGGTTCCTGAGGGCCACAGTGCTCTGAGTTTCTACTGGAGGGGACCATTGCCACACACTCACCCTCCCATCCCAGAGAGGTCAGAGGCTCTGTGCTGGGGGAGCACACTGCACACACCTGTCAGAGGAGATGGGCTGCCCATCCTTCTGCCATCCGGCATGAGGGTCCAAGGAGGTGTCATTTGGGCAGAAGAGCCGCACCAACTGCCCTAGGGCTGCCTGCACCAGAGAGGGCTCCAAGCCCGATAGGGTAATCCTGGGAAGATGGGAGGAAGGGTCTGAGTGCCAAGACCAGGGACTACCCCTTCATCAGCGTGTCCCACACTAAGCTTGGTGCCCATTCTGTCACGGGCACCTGCAGGCCAGAGGGCCTTATGGGAGGCCAAGCTCCAGGAGCCCGTGGTCTTGGGAATCCACCCTCCCCAACCCCCTACATGCCCCCAGGCTTTGCTACGTCCGCCTGCTCCTGCAACAGCACAGAGTAGGCACAGACCCCTGGGGATGGAGAGGCTGGGAGAGAAGCAACACCAGAATCATGTGGGGGACTCAACACATACCTTTAGAACTCAATTTTGTTTTATTAATTTTGTTTTTAATCTTCCCAAATCTCTAATTAATATGATACAGTCACAAGAGTAACAACAAAGGGGACCCACACTAAACTTAAGAGATTATATCACCATTTTACAGGTCAAGAAATGGAGGCTTCGAGAAGTTGGATGATTTGCCTAAGGTCATGAAGCCTGTGAGCTTTTCCAACTAGACAGACCCTGGGCTATACCGGCAAGATCTGATGGAGATCCAGGCATCACTATCCACTGACTGCCTAACCCTGGGCAAGTCTCAGGTCTCTGAAGCCTGAGCTTCCCCATCTGTAGAATGGTGGTAACAAGGCCCTCCAGGCTGGGCTGTTTGGAAGATTACAGGTTAGGGATGGAGACGAAGAGCCAGCTGACCTCAGGGTTTTGGCTCCAACAGGCTCAGCCCCCGGCCTGGGTCCCTGACCCTCCCCCAATCTGGGGAGGAGGGGCCTCACCTGTAGGAGGAGCTGTGGGAGGGTGGTGCCGGTCGGCCTGCGTCTCTGCTCAGTCCAGGGGCACTGGGCCCAAGCTCCTGGCCCCGGGGCTGTTCTCCAAAAGCCTGTCTGCGGTCCACTGCCCCTGGCCCAGGCTCTTGGTCTCGCCACCAGAGGCCACCAGAAGGCAAGGGCTTTCTCTGGACCATGGGCCCTGTCCCATGTCGGCTGGCCTCCTGCTGGCCCCTAGGACCACTGCCGTCACCATCTGTGTGTGTGCTCTGGCCAGAGGTCCCAGGCTCAGGTCGGCGGGGCCTGTGTTGGGCCCCCCGACAGCTGTTCACACACTCCTCCTCCGAGGCAAAGTTATTGGCGTTGCCGTGGCAGCCGCCGTACCAGAAGCGGTTACACTGGCCCACCGAGGCGATGAAGTACCAGCGGGCAACCCAGTCGGTGCAGGAGCCGTGGGCACTGGGCAGCAGGCACCGCACGGGGTATGCTGAGGGGCGGGGAGGGCGCAGGTCATCAGGCCCAGGAACGAAGCTGCAAATGCTGCCTAGCAGAGCCCTGCCGGAGAGCGCCCTCCATCCCCTCGGCCCCAGAATTAGGAGAGAGGCCCTTCCCAGTTTAAAGAGCATGCCTACACCCCCACCTGGCCCCTGACCGGCCTTGGGCTGGGACTCTAGCAGCCTCCAGAATCAGTCCTGTCCACCTGCGCCCCCAGAGCAAGAGCCCTCCAGAAGGTCAGGGCCATGAGCTCCCCGGACAGGCTCCCTCGTGCCCCTCCCCAGCCCCCTAGCGCCCCCACAGAGCAACTTGAGGGCTAAATCTTGCGAGCTTAGCTGACAATAAGGACTCAGCCCTGAGCCCCCAGAGGCCTTTGAAGATGCCCAGTGAGGGGCCTGCCCTTGTTCCCAGGGCCCTTCACCAGCCTCTGAACCTCCTCCAGCCCCCAGCCTGCCTGTAATAACAGCCTCGCCTCTCTGCATTCAGATGTGACCACAGCTGGCTCTTGCTTAAAGCCTGTCCAGGTGCCCAGCCTTCTGCAGACTCTGACCACTAGCCTGTCTGGCTTTCAACGTCCCCATGATGCTCCCTGGCAGCTCCTCCTGTGCACCCTGTGCTTTGACCTCAAAGTCCTCCCTCTAGGACTCATCCCAGGTAGGGTGGAGACACTGACCACCCTGCCTCTGGAGGGGGCTGAGCCCAAGGGCAGCACAGGCCTTCCTTCTCCATAGACTCCTCTCTGACAAGTCTCCCCAGCTCCCATAAGCAGCCAGGCAGCCTAACTACAAACTGTTGGACACGAGAACCATCTGACACCATTCTCTGGCCTGGCACCTAGTAGATGATCAGTATTTGTGGAAGAAATGAACAAATAACTGAGCTGGTATTGTCTTTGGCTCTGGGTGGAGTGGGGTGGGGGACACAGTGGAACAAGCGCCAACCCACCAGGAAGGACGAGCAGGGGCACCCACTCACCATAGCTGGGCTGGCCCACACAGCCTTCCCCAAGAGGGCCGGCCGCAGAGGCCACGTTGTCATAGCAACAGCCGAACCGGGAGCCCCGGCATTCACTAGGCTCATTCTGCTGGGCCTGGGGAGCCTGGGGAGGAAGCCCAGGGTTAGGAAGTTGGAAACAGATCTGGCTATAGGTTGCTGAGGGGCAGGATGGCAGGAAGAGAGAGGGACAGAACTGTGAATCCATGGTGCATAACCCCAGTTCTGGGAGGAGATGAGAGGTCAGGAGAACGTCAGATGAACCCCCAACTCCAGCCCAGGCCTGTCACTGAAGCCCTGTGCCCTGGAGAGGGTGGCCCAGGCCAGCAGGCTCCAGAGCCCTCCTTTCTCCAAGGCCAAAGCTGCAAAGAACCTGGGTCACAGTGGCACTGAGCAGGCTTGAGGGCTGGACTTCCGCCCCTCACATGACCAGACACTTACTATGGAAGCCACCGCTCTCGACCCTGGCCTGCTCCCGGTGTTGTCACCTCCATAAGACCTTGCACAGCCAGCTTGATGGGGCCCCTCAGCCACAGACACGCCGTCAGAGCAGCACCCGAACCTAGACAGACATCACACAGCCCTCCCCTCACCACCCAGGCCTGAACCCTACCCTACCAGGGTCCCTGAGCTTCCAGCATCCCAGGATTCCAGGCCCTGAGGCTCCCTGAGCTGGGAGCTCATCTGGCAAAGACCTGAGTGGGGACAGTCTGTCCCTGTATGCAAGGGGAAGCATTTTGCTTACCCCAGTCTGTCATGTCCACTGGCCACCTAGGGGCTACCAGAAAGGGCAGCAGTAACTCAATAAGCAGAGCTGAACTCCCAGTAAATGACAGATTCTCAACTCAAAAGTCCCACTGTAAAACAGAGGAGGGGGATGTTCACCTGAGCCTGCCCAAATGCCAGGTTCCCAGGGAGTTTTTACAAAATAGCAGCAGATAGGAGATGGGGCAGAAAAGGGTGTCAGAGGAGCCCACCACTTATCTCACCTCCACCAACAGGAGTCAGGAAGGAAGGTGAAAGAAGGAACGTATCAAAGTGCTGTCTATAGTGCCAGGCACATGTGATTTGTTTCATCTTGACAGTAACCCCAGCCAGTGGCTGTCATTGTTCCCAATTCTCAGCAGAGAAAGCCAAGATCAGAGAGGTTAAGTAAGTTTCTCCAAGTCACCCAGCACATAGCTGGTAAGTGGCTGAGCTAGGAATCATCCCCAGGCTGCTGGCCCAGAAGTCTAGGCCCTTAGCACCCAGCCCCTGAGGGAGTGGGAGCCTGGTTTGGATCTGAGAGTTAGAATCATACTCCATTTGTCTTCCCAGCACTTTAGGCTACATCTCAACAGTCTGACTTCTTTAGAGACGGCAAGGGTTTTCACACCGCCTGCTTAGCACATTAGGGAGCTCAGCAAGAGGAAGCCAAGTCCTCAAATGACACGATCGGAGCAGCTCAGAGTCCCGTTCCTGAGCTCTGCTAACCCACCCCACCCCTCTTTCTGAGCAGAAACACTGTCCACCCCATCATACACCCCACAACCAAGACACACCTCCCATTTTGACCTGGTGAGGAGGAAGAGGCACCCACCTGCTCTGCTGACATGAGGCCCCCAGACAGCCTTGCCACTGTGGCCCAAGAGATGCAGTGTGGCCATCAGGGCAGCACCCATAGGGGCTGTGTCTGCAGTCACGGGGCCCTGAGCCAGACCGCAGGGTCTGCTGGTGTGAGGACTGCTGCGGAGACAGGGCTGGGCCCAGGGCTGGCAGATGGGAGCTCTGGTCTCCTCTGGGGTTACCCTGAATTGAGGGTTGCTCCTGGGATGCCCACCACTGATTTCTGGAATCTAGAAAGAAGAAGGGAACAAAAGACATATGATGTATCTGCCTGGCTCGTCACCCTCCACCTGTGTCTACATCACCTACCTATCTCCATGCCCCAAAACCACTTGCCCCCACCCTCCACCTCCATCTCCAGGGCCTGAGGTTGGGGGCTTCCCCTGAGCTTCTCATCTGAGGCAGGGGTCTTCCGAGGGCCCAAAGGCATCTAGGGGTTCCTGGGGCTGGTGCGCACATCCTGTGCGCTGGGGACTTCTGCAGGGAGCCGAGGCAGTCAGAGCAGAGGGAAGGAGGAGAGATGGGCCCGGACAGCGGCCACCCCCACCAATGTTTGCTCCCACCCCACTGCTCAGACAGGACCTGGAAAACCCAGGACAGCAGAAGTGACAAGGAGCAGATTTGTATTTTCGTAAACACCCTTCCCAGGTTTCAAAAGCGTCTTTAATCACATAGAAAATACTAATACTACATGTTTAGCCGAAAAGAAAAGCCAGATATAAAATTAGCATCTATGTTTGATCCCAACTATATAAAACAAACAAAAATGATACACAAATATTTTCCAACTAGATTGATGAAAAGACAAACAATCCCGTTAAAAAATGGGCAATGAACTTGAACAGACCCTTCTCCAAAGAAGATAAATAAATGGCCGACAAGCACATGAAAGGATGTTCAGCAGCATCAGTTGTGAAGGAAACGCAAATCAGAGCCACAAGGAGACACCACTTCACATGTAAACGGAAGGCTCTAACGCAAAAGACAAGTAACAACTGTTGGCGAGGGTGCAAACAAACTGGAACCCGCAAGCACTGCTGGTGGGAATGTGAAACAGTGCAGCCACTGTGGAAACAGCCTGGCTGTTCCTCATAAAGTTAAACAGAGTTACCATGTGGCCCAGCAATCCCAATTCTAAGTCCGCACAGACACTGGTACGTGACTGTTCATAGCAGCATTCTTCATCATAGTCCGAAGGTGGAAACAACCCAAACATCCATTAACAGATGAATGGACAAACAAATTGTGGTACATCCATATAATTCGGTGTGATTTAGTCATAGAAAACGAATGAATAAATACTGATAAATGCCACAACTTGGATGAACCTCAAAAACATTCTTCTAAGTGAAAAAAGCCAGGCACAAAAGGCCTGCTCATTCCTTTTTATATGCCGTACCCAGAATTGGCAGGGAGGCGCTGGTGGTATAGTGGTGAGCACAGCTGCCTTCCAGAATTGGCAAACCCACAGAGCAGATCGGGTTACCAGGGAAGAGGACTGGGGTTAACGGGCAGTGATTATTTAATGGGTACTAGATGCGTTTATGGGGTGATGAAAATTTTTGAAACTAGAGGAGAGGTGGTGGTCGTACAACATGGAGAACACACCAAATAACAGCACACTGCGCCCTCCAGAACGCCCAGTGTGTGTGATGTGAATTTCACCTCAATAATGAGTCCATATTAAAACCGACTGGACTGATAGATGAAAAGGACAGAAAGAGAGTAGATGATGAAAAGGCAAACATAGGGGGAGGGTATAGCTCAAGTGGTAGAGCCCATGCTTAGCATGCACAAGGTCCTGGGTTCAATCCCCAGTACCTCTAATTTAAAGAAAAAGCAAATATATGTGTACACACTTATCAAAATTCATCAAATTGAACATCCAAAATATGTGTAGTTTACTGTACAGGAATTATACCATAATAAAATTGTTTAAAAAAAAGAAAAAGAAAATATAACAAAATATTGACTGTGGAACTTAAATGGTGGGCACATGGCTGCTCACTACAGTTCTTCAACTTTCCTGTACGACTAAAATTTCTCACCATCTCACTGTCTAATCTGGTAAATTTACTAAAAAGCATGAACTGTACCAGTAGAATGAGTGAATTTTCTGGTATATGATACTTGACCACTTCAATAAAGTTCTTAAAAAGACTTTTCATCATAAAATGTTAGAGAAAAAAATGCAGAAGGCTGAGTAGAGAAAATGAGGACAACAGTTATTCTTTTTTTCATGATGCACAAAAGAAGGCTAGCAGGACACCCCGAGAGTGCTCACAGTGAAGTGCCTGGGCACTTCGTGTCGGGGTTGGGGGTGGTCCTTTCCTGCTATTTGTTAGTGTCTCTCAAATTTTCCACAATAAGCACATTACTACATGGTGGAACAAAGTTATGAAAAATAAAATAATTGAAAATTCCATTCCCATATGGACATCTTGCCAGTCCCCAGGGGGATATTTTAAAAACAATAACTTAGGAGGCAGGTGGTAAAATCTTGGTTTTCACGTTATCGCCTATCCCACTCAGGCCAAAACCTCAGGCAAGGCTGGCTTAAACTCTCTCCCGGGTCCTGAAACCACTTGGGTAAGTGAATCTACGTTTTCAACTGGACATTTGATGACATCTAAATCCAGATCAGGTATGCCAGCGAAATTTTAGCACCTGAACTGAGGTGTGCCGTGAGTGTAAGCTATACATTGGATTTGGAAGATTTCATTTTGTTAAAAAAATCTTGTGGAAAAAGAACATAAAATACCCCATTCGTAATTTTTATATAGATTATATGTCAAAAATACTTTATTGGGTTAAATAAAACATATTATTAAATATAAATTCACTTGTTTCTTTTTACTTTTTCAAATGTGGGTCTTAGAAAATTTTAAATGACATATGGGGCTTGCATTCTCTGTCTTTTGGCCAGTGCTGCCCTACAGGCCAGAAAAAAAAAGGCAGCAGAGTTGTCTGTGTGTCCAAGGGACACCCAGCCCTCAGGGGGCCTCCTCTTCCCACTTTCAGCCCCTCCCTGGCAGGTGCTCGCCAGTAAGCACTACAGCACTGGTTTCGGTACCCCAAGCCCCAGAAACCACCTAAATTCTAAATTCTCACCCACCGTGGGCCCACCTAGAAAGCACAGGACGAAAATGTTCACACACCAGATGGCATTTAGTGGCGACAGTAGATACAAAATCACACTTACAAGGAAGTTCAGGAAAGATTTATCCCAACACCGATGGGATCAAGGGCAATTTAAGTTTCTCGCTGTACACTCCTTTTCTAATTTCCCCAAACTGTCCACAATGACCATGCATTATTATTATGCTTATGAAAACAGCGGTGAAGGTTATTTCTTTTACAATTCAGCCTGGTCTGAAGTTCTCTTTCCACTTCCTTCCTTTCTACCTACTGCAAATGCCTCTCTAGGGCAAGCCCAGGGCTGCCTCTTCCAGGAAGGTGTCCGGGGCCCTGGGACACTGAGTGGCTCCAGGGGGCTGGGCTTGGAAGAGCTCGGGGATCCTCCTGCTCATGCACCCCAAGGGCCAGGCCCAGGCTGAGGAGCCCCAGGAGCCACTGCTGCCGACCCTTTGCTCATCGGGTACTGTGTGTTCCTGGCCAAGAGATCACCACAGGCCTGAAAAGTCACTCTTACCAACTCATTATACAGATGCACAAACTGAGGACCAGGGAGGAGAGGCACTTGCCCAGCCCCGCAGCCCTTCAGCAGTGGAGAGGAGATTTGAACCCAGGCTAGCTGTTGACTCCAGGCCATTGGTTCTCAGCCACCTTACCACATGCCTCCATAGGAATCCTACCCCTCCCCCACCTTGGGCACGTCAGGGCCACACACACCTCTCTGCAGTATCACCTTCAACTGCCCCTGCCCCAGCTCAGCCCCAACCCACAGCTTTCCTCAATAACACTTCCTCACACCAAGTTAAGTGCTGGCCTCCGTGCCCTTCGTCCTGCAGCTCCTCATGACTGGGCACCGTCGTTCCCAGTGGGGATGGGAGTGAGGGGAAGTGGGGAAGACAGGGGCAATGTACGAGGACAAGCTTTCCTGGACCACCTCTCTCTCTGTGCTCGGTCACACGGTCATTCAACAAACATTTACTGAGTACCTACCACATGCTAGCAAAGTTCTGGGTGGAGGGGGTTGCGGACAGGGGTAAAACAGAAAGAAGGAAGTCAAGGTCCTGGCCCCCAGGCAGCTCCTAGCTAGTAGGCCAGCCTAACCATATACAACCACTGCAGCTCAGAACCAACCTAAGAGTGACAGCAGTTACAATGAGCTATGTGAGGTGGGGACAGGGCTGGCTCGGGAGGTTGCCTAGAGCTGGACTTCAGGGGTGGCAAGCGCTTCAGTAGGTGGAGATGGGGGAGAAGGGCGGTCCAGGAGGCAGACGCAGCACAGGCAAAGGCCCAGCACAGGAAGTGCTGGCCAGGTTTACGGTGGGGAAAGAGGTCAGGCCAGGCTCCGCCCCGCCCGTCCTGTCCTTACCTGGAGGAAGATGGCAGGGCTGCGTGTTACAGGGCTCCGCATCTGCAGGCTTCGACGGCAGCAGGCTCTCGCAGTGGCTGGGTGGCCCAATGGCACAGACCACCTGGCGCCTCCGAGTGCCTGAGCTGCAGCTCTTGGAGCACTGGGGCCGGGGCGGGAGTGGGAAGAGAGAACACGCCCGCATCAAGAGACAGACCTTGAGGCTGGGGGTGGGGACACCCAGAAGGCAGAGGGGAGGTGCCTGGTCCCACACGACAGACCCAAGGACAGGCACAGGCACAGCTCCTGTCAGAGACCCAGGCAACCAGGCCTGGGCAGCAGGTATGGGGAGAGGAAGTACTCACCAGACCCCAGGCGCCTACGTGCCAGGCCTGGTTGCTGAGGGGACAGTCGTCACGCACACAGGGCTCAGTAAGGGGGGGACGGTCCTCCAAGGAGCACGCCGTGGCATGAAGCAGAGACCCCTCGTCACCCCGGCAAGTGATGCTCCGCCTCCGGACTCCAGCACCGCAGCTGACAGAGCACTGTAAGGACCGGGCTGTCAGCAGGAGCTGGCCTTCGCCCAGAGGAGCCATGCCAGCTCAGACAGCTGGAGGCCCACTGGCCTGGCATGGAGGGCAGACAGCACCCTGTTGCCCACATTCAGACTGGGGCTGCAGACACCTGGCTGAGGTGTAAAACACGTTCCCTCATTTGCAACCAGAACATATGTAGATGCTGGAAGCAGTGACCAGCAGCCCCAGGAGTGTCAGCTCCTCCCTTGCCCCCCAGAAATGTGCCCAGCTTCTTCTTTCCCTCTACTAAAGCCTTTCCCACCCTGCCTGGGACCCTAGAGAAGGAGGAGGAGCACTGGAGCAGGAGTCCAAGCCCCTGCTCCTAGTCCCAGCCTTGGCCACAGCTTCCAATATGATCAGCAGGTCACTTTACTCCCCGGATCTGTTTCCACAGTGGAGGACAGGCCTCCCAGCCCTGCCCCAATCCCAGCGGGGGCCTCACCTCCCCCCAGGGCTCCACACTCCAGGATGCACAGCGCTGCAGGTTGCAAGCCTGCGTGGTAGGGGGCTTCCCCGGCAGGCCCGCACACTCGATGTCCTCGGCAGCCTCCTGGACGCCAGCCCCATTGGACGAGACGCAATAGACGGAGCGAGACTGGGAGCCGCCCCCACAGGAGGCCGAGCAGGGCGCCCAGGGCCCTGTCTTCCAGCTGGCAGGAAGCAGGAAGCCGGTGAGGCTGGCCTGGCAGCAGGGGCCAAGGCCCAGGCCTGAGGGGGTACCAGCTCTCACACGCAGGCAGAGGGGGGACCCTGACCCAGCCCATCCTCTGAGCATCGGGCCGTGCAGGTGAGGAGCAAATAGCTTTGCACAAAGGCCAAAGTCCAGCCCAGGTTGCTGTCTCCTACCACTGTGTGCTGGTCCTGACAACATGGAGCCGGCTGCCTCCCTCAGTGTTCCTGTCCTCACCTGCATCCCCCCTCTTCTCTCCAGATCCCCTGTCACCCCTAACCAGACTCCATTCCCTCTGGGTCAGACCTTAGGGGCGTCTCCCTGAGGGGCCGTGCTCACCCGGGTGTGTGGAGTGGCTCTGCCTGGCCCTGGGGCCCAAGGACCCAGAAGAAAAGGCCACCCACACTGCACATGCAAAGCCAAGCCCACCACCATCCCAAGAGACCAGCTGCCACCAAGGCTACGGGGTGGAAGGACTACACAGCCCATCAGGGAGCCTGTGGCCATCGGATTACCTGTTCCCGCACACACGCTGGGCCCCAGCAAGGTGCCACGCTCTGGGCCGGTGCAGGTAAGAGGTCCTTTGTGCACGAACAAAGGCATTACCAACACCTTGGCATCTGACAAGTTCCCTGCTGGCTCAAACGGGTTCCTCCGGTACCTCCCCAACCCTCCTGCCACCAGCCTGGACATTATAGGCACTGTGTGGACTCACAAGGGTGGACAGAATAGCCCGGGGTCTCGTGCTCAGACCCCTCCACTGCCTCCCCGCTGACAGCTGCCTCTTCCCCACTCCAGCCACTCTGTGAGGAGCCCCTCAACCTCTTTCTTTGCTCCACAACTAAAGCAGCTGAGGGACCCCACTCCCTTCCCACCAAGAGCTTGGACCCCACATGGGCAGAGGGAGCTAGCAAGGGCCTCACCGCTTGGTGTGTGGACAGGGATGAGGGTTGCAGGGCCGGCGGTCAGCAGGCCGCGGCTGGTGCTGGCACATGTGGTCGGGGTAGGCCTCATTGTCGACGGAGCAGAAGACCAGGCGTGTCTGGTGACCTGCAGCGGCCCAGCCACAGTGGGCAGCCAGTCAGTCAACATTCACTGAACGCATTCTCTAGGCCAGGCACCATTCTGGACACCTCCCAAGTATCATCTTGATTAAGCCTCAAATGACCCCCTGGGGTAGGTGCCATCAATGTCCTCAGTTTACAGATGAGGAAACTGAGGCTCAGAGAGTTTTGTTTATAGGGGATGAAGCCCCACTCTGACACCCAGTCAGCAGCTCCAGGCCCAGCCTCTGCTGCCCATGGAGCACTGTCTCCTATGAGACGCCACTGCTTCGGGGAACCCTGACCCCTGGTTTCTGCCCCCAGTCACCCCAAGGTGACCTCCGTGACATGCAGCTGTCTCGTCTACTTGTCCACCTCCCACCCAAGGCTGGAGTGCCCGCACACAGCCGTGTGCCCTCCCCAGGCCGCTGCCCTCACCTCCGCCACACTCAGCACTGCAGTCGCCCCACGAGCCGTGGCTCCAGCTGAAGCCGGGCCGGGGGGAGCTCAGGGGCAGGTGGTACTCGAAGCGCACGCCGGGGTTGGGTTCCTGGCTGATGAGCTGTGCAGGAGGGTCCCCTCTGAGCCTGATGCCAGGGGGGCCTCCCTCACTTGCGCCGCAGCCCTTCCGCTGGCCCCCTGGGGGCCGCCAGGTGCCCCCACTCACCCCTGAGGCCCTCTCCTGCCTGCCCCACTCACCTCAATGACCAGGGGCTCTGAGGTGGGGCCGCGGGCATGGAGCCGCTCGGGCGCCAGGTCCCCCTCGGCTCCCCGCTCATAGTGCAGGATGGTGCTGGCCACGGGCAGGGCCCGGGCGCCCTCGATCGTCCAGTGCCCATTGAGGTAGTATTCACCATGGACGCTCTTCACCGCTGTGCAGGGTGAGTACCCTAGTCAGCTGCCAGGGCAGGACACGCCTCCCAGCCCCAGCCCCAGATTCACCCCAGACTCAAACATGCACTCACCCAGGAAATTCCTGCTGGCGGCCACCTCCTCGATGTGGATGCTGGTGGCCCCCACAGGAACTATGAGGATCTGGTTGTAGCCTGAGGGGCAGAGATACTCTGGGACCACCCAGGCACAGGGAGGATTTGGCCCTGAGGATGCTAAGTGCCTGGCAGAACAGATGGGGTGAGGGGAGGGCAAGTAGGACACAGCAGGGTTGGGTGCTTGGTGTTCCTGAAGGAAGAAACAGCTTTATAAAGGCCAGAGGGACAGGCAGGCTCCAGCACCCAAATGGGGTGAGAGAGGAGGGGACAGGTGGGGACGATGTGGGAAGAGATGAGGCAGCCAGGTGGTCACCGGATAGGTGGGCCGAGACCTGAGTATCAGCCCACAGGCTCCTGGGCAAGGGTTTGGCCTCCACCCTGAGGCATGACCTAAGTGCCAGATCAGACCCTCTCAGAGCCACGAGAGTGACTCAGCCAGCACAGGAGACAGGCAAGGAAGGGGCAGGCAACAGACCCTTGTCTCAACTGTCTGTGGACCCTGGGAGGACCCCCACCTCTGCTGAGGTCATTGGCATCAAAGACGCCTGTGATGGGGTAGCAGGTTGTGCCGTCACCCCCACACTGCAGACACTTGTCCTCCTGCTTTGATGAGTCCAGGTTGTGGTCACAGCCGACAACCTGCCAGGCAGAGATGAGGGGAGACAGGAAAGACCAGAGGAAGTCACAGTCACCCTGGGACTCGAATCCAGGTGGCCCGGCCAGGTCTGGGAAGAGCAGTAACCATTTACTAGCCATGGGGGCAAGTAAATGGTGACTGACAATCAATCCACCTCTTCCACCTGCTTGGCATCCGTGTCCCCTTCTCTGGCAACAACACGTCATTTCCCTTTGGAAGCCACCTCTCCTACTGAGTTTGGATACAGCTCCCAGCATAGGGGTTGGGTCAATCAGTGGGTTGTACACCTTGCACAAAACGTACAGGGGGAGGCCCAGGCCAGGACAAACCAGAAGCAACCCCAGGTCGCTAGAATTCCTGGGAGTCCCAGGGGGTTGCCAGGCTGGGACAGCTGATGTCTGGAGCTGCTGGTGGCCATCTTTATACCTCACCAGAAGAACCTGCCTGATGCAAACACGGACCCAGAGGAGAGGAAAGCCAAGAGGCAGGGAGATGTTTCCAGCAGTGTCATTCAGGAACCCGCAGCCAGCCAGCCCATGCCTCAGTGGCTTTTCTTTTTCCCTTAAGTCAGTTTTAGCTGGGTTTCTGTAACTTGCCACCCAGAGGGTTCCTTTTATTGTGGTGCTAGAGTTTTCAAAGGGCAAAAGTAAGAGGGTCGCAGGGCATCTGTGATGCAAGGCACCTTAGAAGCCAGTCTTGAGAAGACATCAAGGTCTGGCCACTGGCTCAGGGAAGGGAGACATCCTATAATAAAGCCCCAAGCCAGCTCAGGGGGTGGGGGTGGGTGGCACACAACTTACCCGGCAGCTGCCATCCACACAGATGTCCTGTTTGCCAGGCTCACAGGGTGTCCCATCTATGACAGCCTCCCTGTGCTTATAGTAGAAGTTCTCCCCCTTGGGAATGCAGTTCAGTTCACACTTGTTTGGGGCTATGGCAGGCAAGATGGGAAAGTTGAGAGCCTGAGCAATGTTCAAGGCCTCTCCTAGCAACAGCAAAGCATGGCAGGAGCCAGAAGCACACATCTAGCTCGGAGAGAAAGTCCTACAGCATCCCCACCCCCAGTGGCTCTGAATCCCACCCCCAGCCCATGGAGAAGGGATGCTCTCCATGCTCTCCAAGGGACACTGCTGCATCTCTGGGGACCAAGTCAAACAAAAATCCCAGAATAAGGAAAAAGCCAGATACTTGAGGAGGTCTATCTCAGAATTATGTATAATAGTCCAAGAGTTAACAATCAGCTACTCTTTAACTATTATCTATCACTAGGCTACTATGCATGTTGACCGTGTTGTTAAAAATTATGATACAAAGACTATACGTAATGTGGGAAGATGCTTGTAACACAGAAAGCAAAGTGATACCATGTATTAATTACAAACATGTAAACGTAGAGAGAGAAAAAATAATATGAAATAGGCTAGAAAAATGCTAGCAATGATCCTATGAAAGAAGTGGGGTCATTTTTTTGTTTCAGTTTTTGTATTTATCTAAATATTATACACGCATTGTTTAAATAGCCTAGAGGTGCTAATAGGGTTGCAATCACAAAGAAGGTACCCCTTTCTCAATCTTTCCTCTGTTCTAATTTGTCTACACTATAGATTTCCAACATATGTTTACCTTAGGATCCAGAAGGAACAATGACTACTCACTGGGGCCACCCCCTTTAGCCCAGACCCCCTCCCCCACCCCCAAGGCATACACAGGACATGACCGTTCACTGAGTTGGAATCCAGAGTGCCACTGAGTTTCCAGGAGTCATTTACAGGGAGCACTGAAAACTAGTACTCAGAAGGATTAACCTAAGGTATCTTCTGACTCATCCAAAAATGTTCTAATTACACAGATGCTAGTATTTTTTTTTCTTGAACTGTATTGCTCTAAAAATTAATGACCTACAGCTGCCTCATAGTTACCCAGAGAGCAGGCCTCCAGCCCCAGAGGTCCTGAGAGAATGAGCTCTCGCCCCACCAAACCCCTTGGAGACCACCTTGCAGTTGAGCGGGATAGCATCTCCCCCACCCCTGCCCTGCAACTCCTGCCAGGTGAGGAAAGCTTCGGGAGTAGGCCAAAGCAACGCACAGAACAAGGCTCAAAACGGCACAGACCCGGGCATGGCTTTGTTTGCATCCAGAGGGAAAAAGGGTGTAAAAACCTCAGAACGATCAACACTGTTGTGTTGTAATGGATACGTGCCTGGGGGTACTGGTGGGTTTTTTTTTTTAATGTATTTGACACCGCATCTTTAATATAGTAATGAAAACTGTGAAATGCAAATTGTGAAATTTGTTAAAGAGATCCGCAAAAGATGGGGCCCAGCACTGGACAACCGCAGGGTGTCGGGGGTGGGGCGGGGACCTGCGAACTTACCCCCATAGTAGGGCAGCCACTTGTACCGCCGCCCCTGGAACTCCTGGCCATCGAACTCGGAGCACTGCTCCGCCCGGAAGTCGTGGGCGCCGTCTGGGCAGCTCTGGGGGGTGGGGGTGGGGAGTGGGCACGTGAGTCCGCTGCTGGGGTCCCATTGGGTGCTGCCCCACCATGCCAGCTGCAGCTTCTGGGAGGCTCAGAGGTGCCCCTGGGCTCATGACCCCCCTCGGGGGGGGGTTGGGTGCGGGGTGTTTTGGGTGCAGGGTGAGGAAGGGGCTTCTGGAGTTCGGTCCGAGCACAAACAGAAGGGCACTAGGATATCAGCCGAGTAGGGGTTCTGGGAAGCTGTCCCCCATCCCTGCCGGCCTTACTTTACCTCTGTCCGGCAAGAGCGGTGGCTCCGGGTGGGGCCCACGCAGCTGGAGCCCCCATCTCTCCTGCAGGGCAAGAGCACCAGGAAGACCCAAACCCCCATAACTAACACCCCGCCCCCCTGGAGCTCTTCCACAGGCCCCCCCAGCTACGGATGGGCTCCATGGTGGGCAGCCCTCAGCCAGAGGGGCAGCAAGGAGAGGAGGGGTGTCCCCCAGTACATAAATCCCCTTAGGTAGATGCAGTGAGCCCATATTTATACTTGGGAGAAGCCAGATGCAGGAGTCTAACTCTTCTGGAACTTGTCTAACTTGAGGCCACTCTGCCTCTTGAAGCAAATTCCCAGAGAAGACTCAAATTCTGCCTTTGGAGATACAACAAGATGTAACATATACCCACTTGGTAAGGTTATCCTGCCACTTAAGGAGTAAATGAGTATAAGGCACTTAGAACAGTAATCTCATTGCTCTTCCTCGTCACACAGTTTTCAGGAACTAGTTAACCCACGGACAGGCAGTGTCTTCACGCCCCCTTTTGGGCGCTAAAGTACCTGTCAGAGTGCGGGACACACAGCAGGTGCTTAATAAGTCACTTAGACTGGGAAACACCTATACTTGACAAAGAGGCTGACGGTAGAGAAACTGCACAGGTTAAGAATTGCTGAAGATTATTCATTAATTCAACACGAATTCACTGCACCTGCCACATGCTAGGCACTGTGTTAGGAGCTAGAGACTCAAGGGTGGATGAAGCGGACGTGGCTCCAGCTCCCCTAAAGTAAGGTGGCTGTTGCAATCAGTGCATAAGCACATGGGAAATGACTCAGTTTCAAGTACTCCACCAATACTTTTCCCAGCACAAATCTATTGTGTGGTGGGTTCTGTCCGTGTGGCCTAGCACTGGCCCAGGGCTCCTAGCCCAGGATCCAGCCGCTCCCGAGTGCTTGCCTTCTTTTAACAACCTGGCCCATTCTTGCCTCCCTACCTCTGGGAGTAGCAGGGGCGCTCCCGGAAGCTGACGCCCCCTCCGCAGGTCCGGCTGCAGGGGCTCCAGTTGCCCCAGGAGCCCCAGGTGTCGCTCTGCCGCCTCACCTTCGGAGCCTGGAGGAGGAGATGCTCAGGAGTGGAAGTCAGCACTCGGAGCCCTCACAAGAGCTCTCAGGGCTTCCCCAAGTTCCCCTGCCTACAAACACAGCCCTCCTTTGCAAGGATCCTGAGATTGTGTTTCCTAGAGTCAGCCCTTCAGGACTACAACATCACCAGGCACTTGAACGTACTCATTTGTGGAATTAGCCAGCTTTCACCGTAAGAAGCCCAACCTTCGTATCTGTCAAAGCCACTGCCACTAGAAGCCCCTGCTATTTGCCAGGTACAGTGGGGAAACCACCAAGCTAGGGGCAGAGGCGCTCTCTCCTGACCATGATATCCTCTGGCTGGGCAGAGTCTGGTTTGAGATCCAAGAAATCTGCAAACAGTGCCTTGAATGGAGCCCATGGATCAGCAGAGCATACCTTCCAGGAGGGAGACATAAAAGGGCAGGAAGAACAGCGTGTTCTCAAGTAGATATGTCTCCACCTGTGCAGGGAATGTCACCCACCAGCAGTGCCATGTTTTTGTATTAAAATAAAAACTTAATCTAATCCTGCATGTGTGTGTGTGTGTTGGGGGTGGGGTGGGTTGTGGTTTCTTCCTGTCAATCTGTGGCTGAGACTCCCAGGAATCCTCCAATGTCCATCCTCCCCTTCTCCCACTAAAGGAACCCTTGACTCTAAGTTGGATACCTGGCTGCCCCCTGTGAAAATTCATTTCCTGGATTTCCTGCAGTTAACCATAGCTATATCACTAAATTCTTTTCAATGAGATATAAATAGAAGTGTTTTGCAGCAGCCTCCAGGACAGGCATACCTGAAAGATATTGTAGGTTTGGTTCCAGAACACCAGAATAAAGCAAATATTGCAATAAGGTGAGTCACATGGATTTTGGGGTGCATATAAAAGTTGTTTGCACTATACTATAATCTATTAAGTGTGCAATGGCGTTGTCTTTTTGTGTGTTTTTTTGCATTGTCCTAAAAAACAATATACATACTTTAACTTAAAGGTATTTTATTGCTAAAAATGCTAATCATCTGAACTTGCAACAAGTCCTAATCTTTTTGCAATAGTAACATCAAAGATCGCTGATCACAGATCATCATAACAAACATAATGATGAAAAAGTTTGAAATATTGTGAGAATTACCAAAATGTGACTCATAGACATGAAGTGAGCAAATGCTGTTGGAAAAATGGAGCCAACAGACTTGCTTGACACAGATTGCCACAAACCTTCAATTTGTTAAAAAAAAATGCAGTATCTGCAAAGCACAATAAAGCAAAGTGCAATAAAACAAAGTGTGCCTATAACCTCCTTAGGAGATAGCTTGCATGTGTATTTGTCCTCTTTTGTCTCCCTCCTGTACCCTTCCTGCTAGTTGGAAATCAGATGTGATGGCTGGAGTTGGAGCAGCCTTATAAACTATGAGGTAATTTGAGAATAGAGGCTTCAAACAGTGAAGCAAAGATAGAAGGATCCTAGAACCTGGGAGTACTTTGTAAGACAGACCATCCCTAGACTTCTGACCTCTGTGTTTATGTGAGAGAGGGATCAAGCCTCTCTTGTTGAAGGGCTGTCATTTGGGATATAATCCTAATGGATAGTTTCCCACCAGAAAGATCTGACACCCTGCAGCTGGCATCAGAAGCCCACATGCTACACACATAATCTCTCATTTAACCCTCAGAACAACCTGACAGACACCAGTGCATGGATAAGAAAAGTGAGGCAGAGGGAGTGGGAGCCACGTAGCCATGTGTGGACATAGCAGCAGGTTGGCTTCACTCCAGACCTCTGCTCTTATACTAGGTTCCCACCGACCTCACCTGAGGAACCAAAGGGGAAACTAGATGAGTCCCAAGGAGCTGGACAGGTGTTAGACCTGATTTCTTGCTGGGAGGCAAAAGGGGGACTGAAAATATGTCCTGTTTGCCAGAAGAGGACTTTATTTCAGGGCATCGCCACATAAAAATCTCTAGGGGAAAAAAAAATCACTACCATTTTCCAGAGAAAGAACTTGAGTCCTAACATGGAAAAGCACGCTCTTCCGCCTGCTGTAAGCCTCCAGCCACGTCACCACATTTGGGCTGTAGATGGAGGTCTGTGCGTGCACGGATTACTCACTGCGTACTTCTAGCCCCCCAGTGCCAAACATCTAGTTATCCTTGTTTTATAAATAAAATCAGAACCCTGAATCAGAACAAATCACACACACTTGCTGAACCACATACAAAACCAAGAAGGAAGGGCCAGCCAGACTAAAGGTCTGAGGTTTCACTCTTCAAATCATTTACCCTTCAGTTCTAACTGAGCCAAAATCTCCAAGCTTCCAAAAACCAGTGAACCAAAATGTAAGTGTTCTCTTGATAAAATTTAAACTGAAATTTACTGGGATCAGTTTCTATTTTAAAGGGGAAGATACTGAGTGCCAGGAGGGTGACTTTCCTGGGACAACCATCACCCCCTACCCCCCCACCCCAGACTCATCACCACATTGTAAGAATTCTGGAAGCAGCCCACGGGGACTGCTGCTTTCTCATCCTGCCAGCCTCAGCCTAGCTAATTACCTCAGCCTAGCTGCTAATTACCTCTGACCAAAGCCTGTTTGGATGTCAGTCTTGCTCCTGAAGCACATGACCTGACCCTCCCCAAACCACCCTGCCCTGGGGTGGGGCTGGGCTTACCAGTGTGGGTAAGGCAACAAGGGGCACCCCTGCCACGCAGCCACCTTGTGCCATCAGGATGGGGTGGGGGGTGACTCACCCGAACAGAGGGCCCTCTAAGTACCAAGCCTTGCAAACATCCCCTCGTCCCCTGCCCCCAGCACCTGTGAGGCAGGCATCCTAGAGCCAGGCCCTGCCTAGTACTCAAGTCTCTCTGATGAAAGAAAACACATTCAGCCAGAAGCAGCACAGACACATCTTGTTTCTCTATAATTACCCAAGCCACGTGCTGCAAGATGGTGTGAAGCCAGAATGAGCTGGTCCAGTCCACCCTCATGCTGGGCCTGTCTTCACCTGCCTCCTGCCACTCTCAGCACTCGACTTGCTCCTTCTGCAACCCCCGTGTGAGGCAACTCAGGAGCCCCCTTTCCTGCTGCACTGTTCCTAGGGGATCAGCTGCCTGGTGTGCATGGGTCGGGAGGTTGTTATGGGAGTGGGAACAGAGGAAGAGATGAGGAGACTGGAAGGCCCCCTCAGGAAGCCTCCCCCGACCAGCCTAGGGGGTGGT